GGCATTTTTGTTGTAATGTTTTCTTTTTCTTCTTGGCTTCTGTATAATGCTTTTGTTTTAATGTATTGTTTTGTTCTTGTTTTTTTTTCTTTTATAGCTTCTGCTATTGTTATGTCTTTCTCATAAAGTTCTTTTATTGCTGCTTCTCTGCTGCTATTACAGTTAAAATCTAACTTCATTTATTTGTCTCCTCTTTTTACTTTTTCTTCAACTGACTTTATATGCTTGTTTTTTTCTAACACAGTCTTTATATATTATAGTTTTTCTTGAAATATGTTTTCTTTCAGATTGCTAATTAGTATTTTGGCTTTGTACAAGCTGTTGTTGCTGCATTTTTTATTTGCTAAGACCCATATACTATATTCTAATAAGATTTCTATTTCTTCTTTATATTGTAGTTATTTCTCTAATTTTTTAGTTTGTGACTTTTTATCTCTTCTTTTAGATGTTGTCTTTTTCTTTTACTGCTTTCCACTTTAATATTTTTGTTACTTGTCGTAATTTCTATTTTTTGCATTTTGTCTTCTTCCTTTATACTCTCTTCTGAATTTATATTTAAAAGAAATTCTACTGATTTTGGATTCAGGCCTATGTTTCTGATTTCTCTAGCACATTCTTCTATATTTTTGTTTTGTAATTCTATACTATTCACTTTTCTAAGTGCTGTTATTATTTGACTATATAGAAGCAGGTCATATACTGTAATTCTGTCTACATCTTCTACTACTAAGCTTTTTGCTATTAACTCTATATCATTTGGGCTTGCTGTTTTTGTTGTATTTAAAACTTTAATAATTTCTTTGTTATCTATATATTTTATTACTTTTGCTCTGTAATTGCTAACATATCTGAGTAAACTCTGTGTTTGTATATCTTCTATATGCTTCAGATCTTGTTCTAGTCTATTTTGCATATCTAGTTTTATTATCTGTTTCTTTGTTTATTTTGTTGTATATGTTGTTTATTTCCAAATTTGTATATGTTGTATTTGTTTACTTGTTGTTTACTCAGATAATTGGTTATTTGTTGTTGTTTGTTCTTTTCTGAGTTAGCTGTAATTCTCCTAAAAATTCTAATTTTTTCAAATTTTTTTTATTTTTTAACAGAAAATATTGCTATGTCTTCTGGTTTTTTTCTTTTACTACAACTTTGTATTTTACTTATATATTTTGTCTATCTGTTTCTTTTTCTTTAATGCTTTTTTATATGTTTTCTATACTGTTTGTTGAGTTATTTACAATTTTGTGTTTTGACTAAATTTGAAATCAGAATTAGCAAAAAGAGTTCGATCTAAAGAAATTATTTTAAAAAATAAAAATAAAAAAAATTATCTTAAAGATATGACAATCTAATAAAGTAAACAGATTGTTAACTCTTAAGTAGTAGGTTTAAGATTCAAATTTTATAAAAAATAAATTTTGAAAATTATATCTATATTACAATAACTGTTTCTTATTAATTAGTTGGATTTAGATTTCTGTAATATTAATTACATCAAGTCAAATCCTACTTAACATTATAAGCTTAAAACATTTATATAAAGTGTAATATTATGTATATATATAAAATTAGTATTGTATAAGATTTTGATACAAACTCATAATAAGACTATTGAATATAAAAGACTAAGAAATTGAGAAGTCAAAACCTATTTAGAAATCTTAAATAAAAGGTAGTACAAACTTTTAACAGTGTTGTCAAACTGATAAAATCTATAAAATACTTTCAAAATAATAAGTAAATAAATAATAACAAAATATATAAAATAATATATAACTAACTTAGAATGTAGATTCCATAGCTTAGCAGTTAAGCTTCTATACTCTCCACAGTCAAGATCAATAGTTTAAGTTCAGCTGAAGGCAAAATTAAAAAATTTTAGCTTTTGTAATCTAATAAGAAGCCTGTAATTGAATGTGAAGCCCAGTGGTTGAAGTTTAAATGCAGTACAATAATAGAAGTAGAAATTCCTAGAAGAAGACCTAATTATAGAGTAAAGATGCTATGCATAACAAGCAGTTGTTACAGAAGGTTATGGTTATAGAAGGATTTTGCATATAAGTTTTTTAGACTAGGGCAGTACCAACATCCTTATACCTTCTAATTAGGCAGTACTAACATTTCTGCATCCAATTTGTAAAGTACTTGCTTGGAAAGATAATACTGGACTAGTTATAGCACAAAAATGTTAAGATCACATGATTGAAAATTACTTCTGACCTGACCAGACTTTCATTAATTGATTATCAAAATCACGATTATCATGTCTTTTAATTTTTAATGTTAAGAACTTATATCAATATCGATATCTTTAATTTTTTGCAAAATTCAGATTAAAATAAAATACCAAAAGGGCTAACACTACTATTACTATTGTATTTAGGAGTTTAGCCTGTTTAATATTTGTCTTTGAATAAATTGAATTAGTAAAACTTCACAACACAACTTAGATTGCTTCACTTTATTTATTCTTATAGCTTTGTATATTACACATAACTAATTACATCAAATACTATTAATATGTTAAGATTATATTAGAATAAGAGTTATGTAGAAACTGGATGAAAAAAGTGGTAAAAATAAAAATTTTTTATATTACAAATCTTTTTAGATTGTGGTATAAAAAAAAATAAATTCATACAGTTGATGCTGTTTAATAGCATACTGTTTAATTGTGTATACTATAAAAAAATTTTGGTTTTTAATTGTTAACACCAAAATAGTTTTTATAACTGAAATGCATATACTGTATATGCATAAAAAGTCATCAATGAATAGTATACAATTAGACCATAATAACTATATTATAGCACTAGATACTAATAAAACATTTAATTGTTTTATAGATTTAAAATTTTGACATCAATTGCATTCTTTATAATACAATTACTGTAGCCAAAAGGCCAATTTTTGGTTTTTTTGTGGCTTTCAGATTTGTTGCTGTTTTTTTGAGTTTAAGAACTTCAGTGCATACAGTAGCTTTAGCAACTAGAGGCTGTTTAAGGGTCTTGTATGTTTCAAAAAGCTTATTATTGCTAATATTTTGATTTAAGATTTTTACCAATGCCTCATATATCTTCATATTAGATATTAATTATGCTTTTTAGCTTTCAATAATTGTGTGTTGATTGGAAACAAAAGTTTTTATATTATTAAAAGAAGGTGTTTCTATCACTTTTACATCATTATTATTATCTTGCAAAGTGTTATTTCATGGATTATTGTCTGAATTTATTCTTAGAGGAATTGGTATACTAAAAGAAATTAATGAATAATCATGGCATCTTGTTGTTGCAAAAAATCAAGGAAAACCCCCAGAATTTTCTACTGTATATTGGTTTACCAAATGGTTATATATTAGGTAAAGACTGTATATAAAGGCAGGGCAAAAGCAGACCCATATTCTTATATTAGTATAATATTCATTCTCTATACTAATATCTTTTTTTGTAGAATTTTTCCAGCCATGTTTAAATAAATTTCACTAAGACAGAAATTCATATTGGTATTTATACTTTTTTCAGATATTTCCATGTCTGATACTAATTGCTTTGTAAGAATTTGTGTTAGGTGGTCAAGCTGTGGCCAATTACAATTATACTTGTAGTTGTACTTAAGAACACACCAATATGATTCAGTTATCAGATGGTTTTAGCTATAGGCATAGCTTTCAGATAGGATGCTTGAGCAAAAAGCATCTAATCCTTCTTATTGTATCAATTCATTTACAGATATTCCTATAATTTATAGAGATTTTTCTGAAAACAGAACTGGTAAGTTTCTAAAACACTTTGATAATAAATTTGTTCAGTTGTTAGAAAAATATTTCTATTCACTGGGATAAGTGAATGCAATATAGCATGTTTTTTAACTATTTTAAGTAATTTCTTTATAAGCTTATCAAAGTATATTTCATTTTGCTGCTCATCAGAAATCCAGATCAGGTTAATAAAAGCAAATTGTTGATAAGCATCATTTGCTTTTGTACAGTATACTGACTTATTTGTAATTTTTTCTCTTTTAGCTTACATTCGATTGTGTGTTCTACATGCCACAAACAAAGCTAAACTACTGATATTCCTGATCATGCTTTCTGAACAGCACTAATTTTACTGAAATCCTTGTCCAGAAGCACAAATGCTAGCAAAACCCCCTTATTTCGTAACTCAACAAAAAATTCTTTAAGTACACTAACCTGGCTATATACAATATTTTTTAGATTGGAGAGGCATTCTTCTGATGCAGCATATGTATCTAAAAATAAATACATGAGAGAAACACCATATTCACCACAATTGATATTAATTAAAAAAAGTTCAAACTTTTTTTGGTTAGTTTTGAACATTGAGTCGATAATAATTTTACTAATATTATGATTTGTTATATTATAAAGGAATAGGATTATAAATCCAAGGGAATATATAAAATTATTTTCATGATATTGGACAACTTTGTATCTAGCAGCTACTAATTTTCTTTGCTCTATAAAATTTTTTGCCAATTTTACTTAGTTGGCTACATCTGTTATATAAAACTGTGATAAAAGTTTATGTACCCAATAATATACTTGTTGATAAGTATATAATAATAGGTTTATTAGGTTTTGTCACAAAGCTATTTATGAAATTTATCTTTTTGAAAGCTATGATTAATATAATTTTTTATCTATATAATAGCATTTGTGGGCAGGTTTGTATCTCTATATAAAGGATAGGTATGGGCTACTAAATGCTTTATTAATAGTATTGTTCTCTGTTTACATAGGTCCATTTTAATTGTTATACTTCTATTACATAAATAGCATTCGATTGCAGGTTGTGCTTTGCTTACCTGCTTTGTAGACTAATTATCTGGACTTTTGTACTAACAATTAAGCCTCTGAGTACAACTTAAATTGGCTGTTGCATATCCTATATATTGTCTATTTTTTTTATTTATATAAAGCTTTCAGAGTTTCCAGTAATAGCCCAATTCTACTTGAAGAGGCATTACCAAAACATTTACAATATTACAGAATTTTCAACTTCTTTGTCATAGTCAAATTCAGATAATAATACTTTATTAACTAACTCTTTTTCAATTTTTACTATGATAGAGAATTCAACTTTAGCATTTTTATCTTTACTATCTTTGAAGTTAGTAAGCACAGCATTCTCAAGATCATATAAATCATAAGGGAGTCCTTCTTCATCACCTTCATCATCATCTGTAATTAGATTTTTATTACTATTATTGTTATCATCATTATCAAGGTCGAAGGCATACTAGTACTTAGAACATTAGTAGATCTGGCTTTTTTTTATTTTTTCTATTCTTTTCAGCACAAAGATTGCATAATGCATTTGTTAATGTTTTGTTTCCTCACTGTCTTACAAATTTGATAGCTGATTTGGTTTTTTTACAATGAGAACAAAACTTTTCTTCTGAATTGTCAATATTATACTAAGTATTTATTTTTTATATTTAGTATATTTACCATTTGAATTTAAGTATTAGATTTAATATAGGTGTTTATTTACTATTTCTTATATACAATTATATAGGTTAGATGTCAAGATAAATTAAAGTTTACTAAGTATTTATACTTTATATTCTACTTAAGTTCTTAATATCTTAAAATTATCATGAATGTTATTAAACTCATGTAATATCATAGTTTTTGACAAATGCAAAATGTTTCAAACATTCTTAACATTGTAATTCTGAATTATGGCAATGCAATGCAAAAATGCACAGGAGTTGTAAGTTAATTTTTCAGATCTTTTGCAATATGGATAATATTTATTTTAAATCAATTGATTAATAATATATTTTATTAGTAGTGTTACCTATACTGCAAGAGATCCAATTTTTCAAATAAACTATAGTTTTATCTGGTCACTATAATTATTAACAAGATATTATGTTTTTTTATAAATATAACAAAATATTTCTCATAGCCATGAATGATTATTAGTTTGCACAATATTATGTTTGTGTTCATATGGATTTCAGCAGTATGGTAATCATCCAAGTATTAATCTTAAGCCACAAACATAATATTGGTATGTTATATCACTAGAGCTTTATATTCATATTCATTATTTGAATAATATTCATATTCATTATTTGAATAATATTCACATTCGACGAATATTCGAATAAAGAACTATTTAATAAATAATTCGAATAGACAAATTTTATTGAATAATTTTTATTATTCATTACATAAAACTTTAGTCATTGGCTGTTTCACATATATTGACTATATATTATTAGCTATATCATATTTAAAAGCTATACTTTATTTGAATAAATAGTACTTATTTGAATATTATGAATTATTCTATAAATATTTGAATAAATATTTGTTAAGTTATTCGAATATTATTTGAATAATAAATTAGTAAGCTCTACTTGCTACTAGCCACAAATATTATTTTGATAAAGTAACATGGTAATTTGAAAACAAAATAATATTAAAATTTTGACTACTTGCAAACATTATTTGATTTGATTACTTTGTTCAAATATCCTGTCTTAAAATTCTTGAATATTAATCAAATAATTGTGTTTAAAAATCAAAACGAGTAAATAAAAAAAAAACCTTAGTACAATAAAAAAGCACCACAAATTTTTTTTATTGCCAACAAAAAATTATTTATTAGATTACAAGTAGTTACTATTTAATGTATCGTATTATTTATAATTCTTCTATAAAGTCTAACAGCCGATTTTAGACTATACTAATTTCAATAAACAGCAGATACTGTTAATATTACATATATATTAAACTAATAAAGGATTATATCCATTACAATTGAATTCAACATAAATAATTTAATTTGTAATTGAGTACAGATGAGAGAAATTCACTTTTAATTAGGCACTGTTTCTTCTGTTATTTTATTATAAACTCATAATTTATTTGTTTGGTTTAATCATTCTTCTGAGTTAGAAATCAGATGCTTAACTTTTTGTCTTTAAAAAAAAAAGGTTAATGAAAAAATTAATCGTTTGACTCTAAAAAAAATATGATATACTGTACAATATGTCACTTTAATACATTGTAATTGTGTAGTAAGTTATTACAATATGTAGAACTTGAATCTGTTTTTATATTAAACTTAATAGGCTTTACAATTACATTTAGCATCTAACAGACAACAGATCCAAGCTCTACTAGTATATGAATAATGTTTATTATTCTTAAATGAATTGTTAATACTTAAAGATATCATGATTTTTGATAATCAGTCGATAAGTCCAGTTGGGTTAGAAGTGATCTGCAATCATGTGATCTTAACATTTTTGTGTCATAACTAGTCCAGTAAAAAGATAATTAACAGATTGTACAAATAAGTCTTAATTGGGATTTAAGAAAAGAATTTGATTGAAAGAGTAGTCTGAAAGTAATCAAAACTGGAATAGTAAGAGAAACGATGAACATGAGAATAGACAATAATAATGAATTGGTCTAACCAAAAATTGGAAGCACCTCTAACATAGCTAAATAATTTAATTATAAAAAGAAAGATCTTGGAGATAAGCATATAACTTCCTTGTATAATGTAAAAGTACCAAATTGGGTTCTAGTTATACCTATATGAAAGTTTATGATAAACAAGACTAGGGATTAATCAACCAATATGAGATAAGATTTGCAAGGTAGTATGGTATTACTGAAGTCAGTATAACTCTCTGGGCATAATCAGAATTGTTCTGCAAATATTGTTAAATAAGCTAGAAGCTTGCAATATATAGTAGTATAATATCATTAGGGTCAGAGAAACTCCCTAGGTATAATTAGAATTATTCTGTTTGTAAGTGCAACAAGTCTCAGTCTCTATTATAAAAAGAAGCACCATGTTGAAAGTTAAATGCAATATTAAGTTACTATATAATGCTAAGACCTAGGGCATCTACAGAAATAGTAGCAGCAGATTTGGCTTGAGATATGGATTGGTTAAAAGACTAATACCAATAGCAGATTTGGCTTGAGATACAGGTTCATTGCAGATTCTGAACTATTGTTAGAACACTTTAGAGGAAATAATAACAAGCATATCAAAAATGAAAAGATTATAAGGATTAGACATACCTGAGTAGGACCAATTTGAAAGTAGTACAGTGATAAAAAAGTGAGAAATATTAAGAACAAGGTAATACTAGATATAGTTAGATTAGAAGACAGAAGAAACAAGATCAAGTAAAACATATAAGTGAGACATATGGGTATGATTTACAGAAGACAGTACCTCTAACATTTAGGATGTCACATTAAGTTTGGTAGGTATTCTTGTCTGTATAGTAGTTTAATGTATATTATAATTGCAAATAGTTGTCAAGATAACTACATGCTGGTATGTGGCAGACATGCATTTAGATGCTATAAGAGTAACTGAATGAAGTCAGTAGTGTAAAATTAGATAGTATATAGTATTAATAATAATTGATCCTAAAAAGATAACAGTAAAATCTGTACTATATTAAATTAAAGCTAATAAACCAACTGGCATTGTTACCAAAATTATAAAAAAAAAATATAACTAACTAAATTATCAGAATTATTAAAAAAAAATATATATAAGTATACTACATCAAGTTATTTGGATTAGTAATCTGAAAAATCCTATTAATTCTAAATAATAGTTAATAAAAAATAATAAAAAAGATATCAGAAAAATATCAGAATTTAAGTGAACTTTATAAAAATATAGTAATTTAATAATTAATTTTAATTACAAATACTAATTTAGATCAAAACAATATTAGATCAGTTATAAGTATAATATACAAAAAACTCTAATAAATTTAGTACAAAGTTAAACATAACTTAATAATCATAACATATTTGCACTAAGATGAAATTAGTAAAGTAAAGATAAATATAAGAACTAAAATATTTAAATAGAAAATCTACAAGTAGATTTTAATTATGACAACTAATGTAAAACCTTTGAGCAGATTACTTAAATTAAACAATAACTAAAATTATATAAATAACTAATTGTATACTCTTTCTATAATTACTTCTATAATTGTTATACATAACAACCACAAACCAAATCTATTAAGAATAGGGGTAACGTAGATCATTTGTCATATAATTTTCCTAACAAATAAAATTTTATATATATAAAAAAAAATATATTACTAATAAAACTTTTCAGTATTATATTCAAT